TTTTTTTTTTTTTTTTTTTTTTTTTTTTTTTTTTTTTTTTTTTTTCTTTATAAAATGAAAAAGTATGGATAAAATGTTTTCTTAAAACTAACTAAATGTAGTCTATATCATGAAGCTAATGTACTAAAATCTCATTTGACCGAAATATCACATATATTACACTGCGAGTGGTATGTAGAATTATGTAGCTGAGTCGTGCGTATTTTATTGAAGTAAAAAGACGAATAAAAATATGTATAAACCTTACACAATGCTTTGTTCTAACTTAAAAAAAATAATAATAATCGTGAATACATTATTGCTCATATTTTTATGCGTAATAATCGTTTTCATTTATTTCATTTATTTGATGGTTCAGATTTGTGTAACTATAGTTTTTAATAAAATTCGAAAGATATGCCTCCAATGAGAGCCCCAATTAAAAAGAAAATTATTTTTCCGCCCTCGGGTGGTTTTGGGAGGCTGGTACTTCTTCGGGCAAAAAAGCAGTTTTCCGATACTCGTTCGAAAATTCTCCTTTACGAACCTCGTTACGTCCCTCGCCTTCGGCTCGGGCCGCAAACCTCTCGGTTCGCAAACAGAGACTTTTCAAACTCGTAGGAAAACTACCATTTTGACGTAGTTTACCATGCGTAAATTAAATAAATACATAAATTCTGATTTAGTGTTATTGATAACAATTTTTCTCCTTTACCAATATGTTTTTATTTAATATTTTCATCTAACATTTTTACACATACCTTGTTTGAGGTAATTACATAATAAGGTACAACAATTTTAGATTTTCGAAACGTGTAACACAATTTCATAAATTAAAGTTTTGATTTTAGGTTAGAATTTTTTTGTGAAAACTATTTAAATTAATAACTTTTGACAAAAACTGTGAAAAACTAGACAGTCTGAGAAATGTCCTTACATTTTTTTCGATCTAATTAATTTAGTATGCTTTGAATATTGGCGAGTTCAAAACTGCTTCCTACCCTACACAACCATTGTTAATGTTTTTAAAAATGTGTAGTGTTAAAATTAAAACAAAAAGTAATCAAAAAAATTTTAATTAAAAAATAAACATCTTGATAAAAAATATTTGATGACTCCTACAAGTTATAATGTTTTTAAATGAATTTTACAATACGAGGAACAAAAATCTAAATTAAGTTTACATTCACAAATTTTTTGATATTAAAATGTTTCGAAATAGTTTTTCATACAACAAAAGATACGCATATGATACATAAAAGTAAATAACATCTATGCCGTCTCATCTTATTCCATCATTGTCGATAAGGCTTCTATAGAAAATCACACATGAAAATCACTTTGACAAAATATGTTAACAGTATCAATCACTTACCCGAATTTCAATATCTTAAGGGTACTTCGTTGTTATAAGATAAACTCTAATATTTTGTATCTGCGTCGTCATTTATTGTACCATTTATCCAATCGATGTACAAAAAAACTTGTGTAAATACATTATGCTTATCAGTGATAATTCCTATGAGCACAGTTTCGCCGCTGTCATCTTTTTGAACCAAAGGTAAGCCAGACTCGTACTGGAAACCAATGACACTCATGAATACAATTTTTCAAGCGAACTTTTATAAAGACAACATATTGGTACTACTCACAAAAGGACCAGAGCCATATTCTATGCCTGGAGATATACAAAATTGCGATCCAGGCAGTATAGCGTTCATTTTCTTCAAGTATAGCTGACAAAAAGTATTTTCGGTGATATTAGCCACAATCGACTGCAGTGGCTCATATATTGTTCCATCATCGGTGGAGCGAACGAGGATACTTTTTATATCTTTGTTAATAGTTTCTTTAGATGAGGGCAATTTTACAATATTTATCAATTCGTTGAGTTCAATTTTTTCTTCCAATTGTAAGATAGCAATGTCATTATCTTTAACAAAGAAGTCACTAAAAAGAAAATTTCGTACTATTATGAATTATTGTTCTACAGTTCACAAATCAAACATTTAAAAGCAAATAAATGTCCTACTTTACATAGTTTTCGTGAATGATTGTTTTACTGACATAAATTTCTTTCCTGCCAATTCTAATAACGTATTTACCATCCTTCTCAGGTACACAACTGGCACTCGTTATAACATAGTTTTCTTTGATAAGTGCGCCATTACACAAATAAATCCGTGATTGTTGTGCATCAGATTTTAGAATATTAACGACAAATGGAAACTCTTCTCTCCTCGTGCCGTTCCATTCTTCAGATTTGGTAACTTATTGAAAGAAAAAAAAAAGTTATTTTTAAATAATTTTTTGCTATTGCCGTATTTCTAAAAAACGATAAAAATTAATTTTTATGTTTATACTGTACGAACTCACATGAAAAAAAGACGATTCAATTTTAACAACCAAAAACAGAAACCATTATAGTAAATTACGTAACGTATGCTTGAAATTGGTGATTCTTGCATGAGTGTTAATTTGTTCCTCTTAGCAAAGCAAGTATGCGAATTACTGCGTGCACTCACTACATAATATATCATATGTACTTAAAGTACACGCTCCATGTGCCAAGTAAGAATACTTTATGTACTCGAGCGCAAAAAATAGTGTGTGGTATAACAGAGCGCACTAGTTTTCGAAAATTTAATTTGTGCGTTAGTTTTTAAATCAAGTACTTGAATTTTTCTTAAATTAAAACGTGGGATATTTTATTTGTGTCAAATATTCCCACCTGTAAAAATTGCCACTACTTTGTGCTCTAGTTGCATAACGTACTATTTGAAAATTTTATTCGAAAAATAGGTGTATTAGAAAAGTGAAAACAGCTTACCTTGAATTACCAATAACACAGCAAGAATCTTCAGAAGAAACATTGTAACCAAGAAATAAAATGAGAATTTAAAAAAAATTTTCGCATTTTATAGTATTTATGACGTAGACTGCGAACTACTTGGTTTATCAGTGTATGACTACACGTTTTGATGAAATATCGAACGAAAAAGCCATTCAGCATATTCCAACGTGCTAAAAAATTATCGTAAATTTTTTTATATTCGCAAACAACTGATAATACATAGAATTTTTGAAAGCCGCAAATCAAAAGAATGTAAGCTTTTTTGTCTTTGTATGCACATACTCATATGATCACTCAAATCTGATTTATCAATATCATATATTCCAGAAATAGTAGGTAATAATACATTCTACATTTATATTAAATAAAACTGTAAATTTTCGATTTTCAAAACAACACACATAGAATTAAATAGCAAGTCATTCACTTACGTTTGTTTTGATATATTTTAATAATTTTTGACTATCTAGTGATATAACTAATTAACTATTAATTACTTGGCTTAACGATTAATGAATATTTGTTTCTATCAATCTAAATTCTAAAATCATTGACAATCAATGATTCATTCAATATAAGTTTTTTCTACCAGTCAGGTAAATATTAAACTGTCATAGCAAAATTGTTTGATATCAGATTTAATCATCACGAATAGATTTTGCAAGATTTTTATTTAAAGAGTGNTATTTTTCATGATATTTGAAAACAATCGTTTATTTTACCGTTCAATATATAAAGTGATTTTAATTTTCTTTAATACATAGTAAAATATTGGTATTGTCAAGTTGTATGTATAAAGATGAAGATATTATCGTACTTATTGTTTAGTCTTGAATTTTCATTACGTGAAAAATATTGAAATATTTATCATTGTTTTAATTATAGCACTTTAGCATCCTTTTACATTTCTCTCACTACTGTTTTCGATCAAAAAATATTAAACCAATATTCAAGTCCATTAAAACTTGATCGTTAATTATAGATTTTACTATTGAAAAGGTTTTTATTTAAAAATGAAAAATAATGCATTAATAAAAATATGTAGTTTGAACTTCATAGTATTTTTTTATTAAAAAAATTGTTATTAAATCATCTATTCATATATACACTATTATATTTGTTATTTTTCCATGAGACTTTCTTCATCTCCAGTCTTTTATACTTGCAACTTAAATATGTCCTCTTACTTCTATTTAATATTAGATATTAATAATTATACCTGTGTACGCAATTTCGAAAACAGAATCCAAACCATTTAATTACTAATGAATTTGGTATCATTTAAAGATTTACTATCAAAAGCTGTTTTTACTATTTTAATATTGAAAAAGTTATTTCTCCAACACTAACAAATTACTTTTTTCTACAAATTTTTTTTCATTATTACACTTACAAATACATATTAATTAAATAGTACAAAAGTTTTTTGCTGGATATGCTTGATTAGAAAAATAAAAATGTAGCGCATAAAAAGTATAAAAATTTTTAGTATAACGTAATTAAATGAACAAAAAAATAGTTATGTCTTGTAATTGATACAATAAATATATTTTTCACAGTTTCACTATTAAGTGTATTGATTTTTTATCCAGCATGAGTTTGATACATAAAACTAAATACTATTTTTGAGCTTTCTGTCTTCGGGTTATTCTTCTTGAAATTCCTCAAATTCGTGGTAAAGAATTTTGAACATGTTCCTTATCACTGTTCTCAAAGTTTTTACGTACTTTTTAATTTCTTTTCTGCCAGTTGAGTCTGCCAATTCTATTATATTATTGTATTTACTTTGTAATTTTCTTATTTCTGCTGCATATGAATTATCTTTATTTTGTCTTCCATCTTCCCTCAAGTTATTTATGTAAGTCATGTCATCGACCAAAAGCTTATAATTTTCGTCATTTAATTCCACAAGTCTGTTGACATTTTGTTCAAGTTTTTTGTACTCTGGTGTATTCTCTTTCTTCTCTTTTCTTAACACTTCCAGTTCTTCTTGGTATTCTTTTATAACATTTGTAGCATCGGTCTTGAGTAATTTCACTAATTTGTCGAAGGTTTTTCTTATTCTTTCACGAAAATTGTCAAAGTCCTTTTGAATATCTTCTAAGAATCCATTTAATTTTTCAGCCGTATTTGATTTTTCCTGTAAAATTTAAGTAATTTTTTGTTATTTATTTTTTATGATGAAAAATACAAATTTTTTCCTAATTTTAGATTTAACAATTCGTAGAAATGAAAAAAATGTATGCATAATTTTTTATAAAATATGTCTAATAGTTGAAGAAACATTATAAAATAACAAATTATTTTTTAATTTTCTTACGTTATCATGATGAATTTCTTCTTTTAACGGCTTGGCTAATGCTAAAGCAGTCGTTCCAAGGAGAACAAGAATGAGAATTTTTGTAAGCATGATGAGATGCTTCACTGGTAACTTAAAATGAACTGCATCACAATCTTCCGCTTTTTTGGTTTATATTCTGTTACGTACGATAAATGGGGCTACATGCCTCTCTCTTCTTTTTTGATGACGCCACAGGCAAGTGGAAGTGAAAAAGAGAGGTGAGAATGATTGATAAAAACCACAATTCATACCATCTGTTTATACTACTCAATTCTAGAATTATGTAAATTCAAGCTTGCTTTGTGTGTTTGCTTTAGCCTCTTAGCTTAGAGACAACGTACGAACTTTGTACGAACTGCTAGATCTTTCTTTGTTAAATATACATGATAAACACAGTCAAATGTAAATGAAACATTATAATTATTGTTATCCACGCTGTAAAAAAGTATATACAACTTTAAAATTAAATCCAAAGATGAAAGTGTAATTAATTAACTAATAATACAATTCTTCAATGAAACGTAATGCATTGAAAATATTTTTTTTTAAATTGTTAATAACATAAAATGAATGAATAATTTATAAAGTACCGAAATAAGCCATTTAAATAAATAATAAATGTTAGTAATACTATCTATAGATTGTATACTATAGATTACATGGCAATTTGAAAAATAAGACGTTACCCATGTAATTCTGTTTGGTTTTACACATATGAGGAAATTTATTTTGTTCATTATATGGTCTCAGTCTGGAATATGGCGACAGTTATAGTCCTTCTTATTGTCACGTTATTAGATGCAAGATTTACTTTGAAAATTTATCATAATATGTTGCTCAAAAATCACTAAACCATGCCAAGTTATTTGTAGATATGATTCTCTAAAAATTAATGCAGTTAGAATTTTATTCAAAAGTATACATTTAAAAATATAATATTTGCTTTGAAATTTTATAAAAGATACATAAAAAGCAATATTGGATGTTTTATTAATTTTTTATAATAAATTATTTGACCACGGCCTTGCAACTATTTATTAATATCGATGCTAAATATTCTTAATACATTTTTAGGTTTAGTTTGAAAAATATTTTTTACTATAGGAATTTAGTAACGTAGCTCTAAAATTTGCTGATGCATGACAGTCTTAATCGCAGGTAACAACACATGTCATGTCCATTAACGTATAATAGATTACTCACGATCAGTTTTACTTTTAACTTGATCTATTGAAAAAAAAAAAAAAAACTTGTAGGCACGACTATCTTATCCCTAGAAATAAAGCAGTCCCATGTAGTATAATTTCTTTTTGCTTAAATTTTCGATAATCTACTTCATTTAATAGATAAACTGTTGAATTTTATCGTATTTATTGTCGATGGACTGTATTGCATTTAAAAAGACGAATAATCAGTGTAAGTATGCCTAAGTGTTTTTCACCTGTTTCAACAGCAAGCATTCCAATTTATTGAAACGTGAATTTTTAAAATTTAAATGCTATCTAAACATTGAAAGATCCTTATCTCAAATGTAAAAGTTACATTTCTGATACTACGAGTACATTGTCACGTTCTTGCATCATAAGTACCTCTATGTTTAGATGCAAAAAAGTTTTGAAATTTACGTTTTAACACTTTAAGTGTGTGATAAATCGAATGTATTGTTACAGCAATATTTTATTATAATTATAAACATATTTTATAGACTGTGCAAATACAACAAAAAAAGTTGAATTAGTTTTTCAAAGCATTTATAAGCATATCCGTATCTATGCAAATATCTTATTTTTCAAACTTAGTACTTGCCGCAAGTTTTTTAAAAACACTCTGATATTGTAAAAGTATATGTTCATGCAAATTTAAATTGCATACTTAATTAAGTACCTCCTCCAGTTAAGAAATAAGTCTACTGAAGAATCCCTTGAGGTCAAGTAGTAGATGGTAGGGTATCCTTATGTAATAAATAAAAGATTTGACGGTAGAGTTTACTATTTAAAACTTTTCATGAGTGAGTTTAATTATTTTGCGAGTTTCCTTTACATAAACTTACTCTGTTGTTTTTCAATTCATTGTAGAAATGTATGAGAATAAGCAAAAATATTGGTCAACAATTAAAAAGCTAGGTGCTATGAGAGAGTTTGTGTATTAATGTTCATAACGATGTATTTAACCAAGAACTAATTTTTTAATACAAATTTTAAAAGTGGTTTAAAATATAATAGTGAAACCATAACTCAATCGAGAGATTTTTTAATACTTCTTATGTTAAGGTAGTTCTTTTACAATTTGTATATATATATATACAGATCAATTACCCGTATAGAAATGTAACAGTAAGGTTATATAGTTTATACATAACATGAAGGTAGAAGCCTCCTTAATACTTTTGATAAATGTTCTGAATATGGTATGGCTGAGCCTTTTAAAATTCCAACCTGATAAAGGTACTGCTGTCGAGAAAATATACTGAAAGCTATAATAAAATACTACATTCTTGCCGTAGTTTACTTCTATCTTAATCATGAAGTTCTTAAAATCAGCATTTTAATAGCAAATGGAAGTAATTAAAATCCATGACGGAAATTAAAAATTTTCGTGATTAGTTTTAAAACATTCTAGTTACATAACTGTAATGTTTCATTTTAAAAGAATTTTTATCTGATTTCACGTGAAAAAGT